TAATTAGCATATTTCTAGATTTTTCTCGAATATACTGGAATAATCTAGAATCTTCTAAAGATTCTATTTCTAATTTCTCTATTTTACAACTTCTTCATGAATGAAAACTTTTTGTGTATTAACAAGTAGGACTCAGTAGAATCTCTTTTATTATTTTTTTTATGAAATTCATCCTCGTAACAGTGGCAATTTCTTTTGACTCACCTAGCAAGCTTTTTGGCTCCTTCCATTTTCAAATTCAACAAATGCAAATGACTTGGGGTCACCAGTTGATTTGTACCTTGGAATACTGATATAAAAATAGTACCACACGGGAAAAATTCTCTTTTATCCAGTCATGGTCAACATTTGATGGCAGTAATTCCTAAAAAAAAAAGAAACAAAATTTAAGTGATCTTTGTCAAACAAAATATTAGATTACTAGATTAAAAGCCACCCTATTGGGTAGCATTTAAGCTAGCTCCTGCAGAAAGCTCTTGATTGGGCCATCATCTCATTAGGGAGGAGTAGATGTGATAGGCAACAAGAACTCATAATTGATTGCTGCATTTAAATATTGCATTAATATTTAAGCTTACCTTTTAAAAGTTCAACAATTAATTTTTCTGCTGCCACTTAATTTAAAAACAATTTGATGTACATGGGTCATTACTTTCCATACAAACAATTATTTTTATTTCATTGGTGAATTTTAATGGATTTTGCAATTAATTTCAATTATTCCCAAAATTATTTCCCAGTTATAAAACTGTTATCAAACAAAAAAATTTTTATTGCAAAAAAAATCATGTAAAAGAAATCACTGAAAACATTCACGGTAATGAAAACTTGGGAATTCAAAATGTTAGGATTGCAGATCCAGATCCAGCCTGGAATGTTTTAATTTGCTCATGGAGTTGGCCTGATTCCAAATGTTATATTTTCGACTATGGACTCTAGGAAGTAAAAAGTTGGAAACGTGACACACTGATATTGCATTTATTACATAGATTGTTAACTTTCTGATTTTGCTATATCACTCTTAAATATCTTACCATAAATTGCGGAATAAAGTCAAACTCAAGATTTTGACCCCAAACATACTGTAGGCGACCAGTGCAAAAAGTTGATAAGCTATAAAAGATAAATCAATCGTATATCTGAAAACTTAGGCCTACCAGTAAATAAAGTTAGGCTACAGTACGATAACCTGTGCTAAATCTACATAAGGTCACACCTGTATATTGAGACACTAACTATAATATCTTTCTATATGTGTTGTATAGCAAAACAACCAACGACACACATTAAAAATCAACATCATCATCTATAAAAATATCATCATGACTATCATGAAATTGCATAGATGACATGCTACTCAAACCTAGTATGTCTGAATGGCTGCTTGAGTTAAATGGTGTTTTGGTCAGTGTTTACATAGTGTATCTGCTGGTGGACACAATGTGTGCTGCGCTATTAATAGAGTACTAAATTTGTATTGCTATTTTATTATTTTATATGAATTTCTGTGTTAATATGCTATGTTTTCCAAAAGTAAGTTTTAGTGGGATATATGTAGGGCAGCCTGCTGGACGTACAGTAAATGATATGCAGTAATTGTTGGGAGTGCTGTCCCACTTGTTTATGACAAAGGTTTGCATTTTATACCTGCCATTTCAGTTAATGATAATAATAATAATAATAATAATCTGCTGAAGAAGAAAAAACTCCGACGATAAACCTTGTGCCGTCCGTGAAAATATGAACAATAGTACTTGAAGTTAAATACAGTTGTCACTGAAGAAATCCTTGTGTTGTACTGGAAAGTACAAATCACAGTACTTGAAGATAAATCCAGTTGTCCAGTCTGGCCACTCTTTAAAAGAATCTGGCCACTCTTTAAAGAAGCAACCCACAATTTTTGTTCCATTGCCAGTTATTAGAACGAGTTGGGAAAAGAAGAAAAAGAACAAAGAAGAAAAGAACTGTAAATTTTTTTTTCTATTATTCTAATATAAACATCATATTGTGACTTATTTGGGTGTCATCCATTTTATTTTTTACAATTTTCTATGCATGTGTTCAACTCCTTGGTTTAGCATGGTTGAGTTGCCCCAGTGGAAATTTGGCTTGACTCTCTTAAGATCAAAATCACAACGTGGGTAAGAGAGGTCACAGTTGAAGAGGTCAACTTAGAGACCAGCTGCTGTGCCAAACACCATCAACGACTGACGAGTGGGCTGGCGGCTTGTTCTCTGATACCAGGATCAATCCTGACCAAGCAAACAGACCGGAACTGACCTTGAGTACCGCCATACCTGGTGACCAAAGCAGACTGGACCCTGAACAACGTCATATTTGGAGGCCATGACCAGGCCATGGCCTGGAACACTGTCATATATGATTAATTTATCTTTTACATCTTATCAAAGATTTGCAGGTCATTTAAAGCCAGAAAATATATTTAAATTGTAAGAATTTCTCTTTTGATAATGGTTTTAGTGATAAGAGTTAAATTTAAAACACAGAACATTTACTTTCAACTGATGGCTATCAGTAACTGGAGTCAACATCAAAGTACAAGAGGTGCAGACTGAGAGAAAGTAATGGAAGTAAGATTAATTACTTTTTTTAGACGAAGATGACAGGAGAAAGAAAACTGTAGTATATAAAAATGGCCATCCTGCACAAAGGAAAACAAGTAACGAAGTGGGCTTGCAGAAAAGACAGAGATGGGCGCTGACTGCACCTACCCTCACAAGCTTCAACGCACCTTCACTTGCTTATAAGACCTGGTTTACTACTAGAAATTATCTTGTTTTTCATTCATGGGTAACGATCTGGCCAAAGGGTAATTTTTAAGCCACAAGCATTTGAATGCACCCTGTCAACAAACCTGTTGTCTAGTCTGAACTGCAATGCAACACAAGTCTTACTGTTTAACCAATAGATAGGAGGAGAAAAGTTGTATTCATAGCTTTCCCAAAGGTATTTGCATGAAAGTGAATATATCAAACCTAACAGAAATTGGAACTCTGCTCTCTGATAAACAATGTCTAAGCCATTATCCAAGTTTATAGCACTTGGTATTCAGAACAGTTACCCATCTAGGTACTGACCAGTCTCGACATTGCTTAATTTTAGTGATTCGATATGTGGTCATAATCCATATATGATTGAGCGACATTTAAAAGAACTAATATTGTATATGGTTATCATCTGCATATAAAAATTTATTTTCTTGAATAAAAATAATTCTAAATAAACACACTTCAGCAAATCAAAAAAATAAAATTCAATGTATTTTTTGTAAATTGCCAATATTTTTTTTGTCTAAGGAAAAAAAACAAAAACAAAACAAAACAAAAAAAAAACAAAAAAAACTGTAAAAAGACAAAATGCATGGTTATCAACAAAAGAGACAATTAAGGCTGCAAGGAGGAATATAAAAAACAAGCAAGTGTGAAAATTTAACTAGCTGCATTATGCAGTAACAGACAACTGAAAATACGACACAGAAATATAAAGGGGCATAAAAATAGTGAAAATTGCTTTCAGAAACTGAGCCAAGTAAGTAATTGTAGAATTTCATTAAAATTAAAGAATATACTGCTGGGCTGTTATTTAATAGCAAATCTCATATCTAGCAGTGAATGCTGGACAATTTCCTCACAGATGAAGTGACAGAGATGCTGTTCTACTAACAAATGTTAAGAATAACAGACTGAATACAAGGGCAATGAGGAAATTTTGAGGAAAATGGCAAGTAAAAATAAAAGGGCATTTATACTTACAATCAAATAGAGCTGAAATTTCTGGGACCCATAATGAGGAAAGAGGGCCTAAAGAATTTAACACTCACAGAGCATATTAAAGAGAAGTGAAAAAAAAGTAAATATTGCTGCTACATCTGGTCTGGTGCTTACATTAGGGATTCTTCACAAAATCCAATGTTATTGGTCCTAAATTGGATTCTAGGCTTCAGTCACTTTCCCACTGCTGTAACATGGCTTCCCTGTGCCTTTTCTATAAGTACTTTCATGGCAATTGTTCTGATGTACTTGGTACCTGGACTTCACAAATTTAAGCATAGTACTAGATTGCAGGCATGGTCTCATCATTTTACATTTAAAATGGCTAAGCGTAAGTTCTATGCTATCGCACTTCTCGCTTGTGGAACTCTCTTCTGGTTTCTTGCTTCCCAGTCAACTTTGATCTTCAATGATTTAAATGCAATGTCAATCGTTATCTGTCTTCTTAATTCCTGTTTTTTTCTCTCTCCTTAATTGTGATTTTTCTCATATTCTCTCACACTCAGTAACCCTTTGCATCTTAGTGGCTTTATTGCCTTTCTTGGGGGTGAAATGATTAAAATGAAAAAAATTAAAAAAACTAAAACTACTTAATGAGGATGTGTCAAAAATATTGTCAAAAGTTACTTAGAGCAAATAAAAGACAAGAAGCTGTGGAGACCCATAATAAGCCAAATCCTGAAGAGAGAGCACAAAAAAAATGACTAGAGATAAAAAAAAGTGGATATTTTACACATGAAGACGAGACTTAAAAGGACAGATGTGGTTCTAACAACTAATGGTGAGAGTAACATGGACAGAGTATAGAAGAAAGGAAGAATTTTCATGGAGAATAGGAGCTACAAAGAAACTTATTAAAAGATGAGAGAAAAAAAAGGCAGCTGAAAAGTTTTGGAAAAATGAGGAAAGAAGGCTTAAAGAATCTAACACTCACAAGTCCTGTTTAGGAATGGTTTCCAGTTCCTTCTAAAGTCTATTTCAACTTTATACTTCTAACATATTCACCTAAACTCTGAAATCCCCTCCCCCGTCAATAGGAGTGGTAAGCTTCACCCATTGTTCAGTTCACACTCCTGCCCGGTCTCTTGAACAGAAATAGAGTGTTATCCCTTTTCATCTTTTCTCGTTTAGGAATGGGTTTTTGTTCCCTTCTAAAGTTTTCTTTTTTTTTTCTTTTTTTTTTTTTAACTTTTTTATTCCCAGTAGCTAACTACATCGTAGCAGCATTATCATCATCTTGCCTGGAGTGAAATGATAAAAAAAACAAAAAACATTGAAGGCAAGAGAAGGAAAAAAAGTAACTTACTTGATGTGTTTGAGTAAATGGTTGACAGAATAAGGACTACAAAAATGGGTGGTAAAAGAGTAAGGATTTTTGTACTAAATGTTCACTCAAGAGCCACTCAAGGTAGAAGGTTACTCAACAAGATGCGTGATATGAATGCAAAAGTATGAAGTATGAAGTGAGGATTATGCCGATATGGATGATAGGTAACAATTGACCAATGACTTGAAAAGGTTAAGATTGTAACATTCAGGTGAGCATCCGCATAGGAGTCTGTTCCAAATCGTGAACTATAACTGTCAATATTATAGAAGGGAAAAAAAAAAAAAAAAAAAAAAAAGGCTATAGATCTGATACTCATATTAAAGTAAAACAAAAAATTACTTACTACATAAACTGTTCGCTTGTCAACATCTTTAGGTTTTGAGTAAGGGGTGATTCTTCGAACAGAACTTTTATCTTCATTAAGCTACAAAATCAAAAATTGAGATAACTGATCATTTATAAATTTAACAGAAAAATTAGTGCCAACCTCTGGAAAGAAAAGAATCTATTAGAATTACAATTCACAGTTCTTTATATTTAAAAGTGAAATTTATTGATCAAATAATAGTAAAATTTTGAAGCTGATGAGACACCAAAAAACACAGCAAGTTTTAATGTGGGCTCACCATATCTTCCGGTACAAGATGCTATGGCTTGGAAGACACACCCTAATAATTGAAGAAAATTTCTAAGGCAAAAAGCCATTCTCATACAAGAACACATTCACCATGCGTCTCTCACATACTAGCGCCACGTATTGTTTATATTAATCACTTGACCGATTTTGTTTGTCTGGCAATAACATACTAATCAAGATCAGAAAGGTTCCTGCCACTGCTAGTAAACAGAGCATGTTTAATCTTGTAGCTTGGCTCCAGGAAGGTTTATAGTCTTTGAAATACTTATCACAACTTGAGGTTACATCATATAAAAGGCTGAATTAGATAGATAGCTAATATTATAGCATAATGTCTCAACATACAAATCCTCATCCCTATCAATCAAGCCAATTAGGTGACTGTCCAAGCTTACATGAGCCTGGGTGTCTCCTTACATTTGTCTTAGAAGACGCATGTGTATTATTCAGGGTATTTTTTTTAAGAAAAAAAAAGTGTCTTGCAAGCCGGAAGATATGGTATATAATAAAATTTATCAAATACAGTAATATAATAGGTTGGAAAAAATAAATAAATAAAAATGTGAAAAACAAAAAAAAACAAACAAGATAAAAAGTTGTAACAAAAGATAACATGTTAAAAATAAAAAGGTATAAAAAAAAAAAAAAAAGAATTAATTGGCTACCAATTTTACCCCCATTAATTAATTAGTTACCATCAAGTTTCTTCTTCACATATGTGCCGTGTCCCTTTCTTGTCCATTTATGTGCCGTGTCCCTTTCTTGTCCATTTATGTGCCGTGTCCCTTTCTTGTCCATTTATGTGCCGTGTCCCTTTCTTCTTCATTTATGTGCCGTGTCCCTTTCTTGTCCATTTATGTGCCTACACACAGAGCCATCTTAAAGCATGGGCCTGATGGGCACTTGCATAGAGGATCCATGCTAATCTGTGTATGTTAAGTGACTTTTGTTACAAAAGCTCCTATTTAGAATATACTAAAAATAGAAAGTACTCCAAGCTATGATATTTATAAATTGTATATGAACCCAGGTATAGGGCTATGCATAAATTATTAGTGATTGAACCTGAGATTCAATCACAAAATTAAACATTTATACAGTAAGCATGTAATGATTATTTAAGTTTATGAATTTATGATGCATTACTAATTGCCAGGTATTGATAGTTTGTGAATATATGAATGGATAAGCTTTTTAATTGTGCAAGTTGAGAAAAGTGTTGAATGTAGTCTTGTAGACCTATACATAGTTGAGGCTAGATCAGTGCCAGACATCCTAGCTATTCCACTAAGCTAGATTTAGGTCTTGTCCAGCAAATTTGTGAATCAGCACACAGTAGAGAGTTTGTATTAAGAATAAATACTGTTCGTACAATTAAAGGGGTACATGTTTATTGAATTAATGAGACAAGTTCTTTGTATTATTCTTGAAGAAGTAAAAGAGTCAAAGTATTATTCAATAAGTGTAGATTCCACTCCAGACATCTCACACACAGATCAACTGATATTTACTCTCAGATACATTAAAGTCAGTAAGCCTGTGGAATGTTTCTTGTTGTTCATCCTCATCTTTTCTTATGGAGCAAAGGATTTAACACTGTTGTGGATTTTCTTAATGAGAACAAAATTCTACTATGAAACTTTCATGGTCAGTCATACGATAATGCCTCAAATATGTCTGGACAATATATTGGATTGCATGCATGGATTCATCAACTCAATGAGTTTGCTATCTAAATCCCCTGTGCTGAACACAACCTGAATTTGGTGGGTGTAATAGCGGCATTGTTGTCTTACAGACTGCAAAATTTTTTGACTTTGTTTAGTATCTGTAAATAATTCTTGGATAGTTCCATGTTGGTTTCTTACCATCTTTTTGCAGCTTTTCATAAAAAATTCTACATTTTGGGATTAATTCAAAAAACACTGACTTATTCTCTTTACATTTTCTGTTTAAATTACATTGACAGTTGTCATTGTGTGGCAGCATTCATTTTATGCAGGACCCAAGAATAAAAGATGTCCCTCAAGCACTTTGTCCTAAAACTAATAGAATTAAAATGTCACCCATCCTGAAGATAACAGTCCAAACAAGTGGTAGCCAATGTAAATATAACAGTTATTTGAGAACGTCTTTAAAAGGTAACTGGATGCAAAGGTGGTGTAATGGGTAGATACTCGGAATGAGAAATCATAGAGCAGAGTTCAAATTTCAGTTGTATTCATTACATTCACTTACAAATATTTTTGGGAAAGATATGAATCCATCTCTTCTCTCCATTAATTGTGAATGGCAACCAGTTGAGAAGTAATAATCAACTTCAAAACTGTAATGGCCAAATATTGGATTGCTACTTTGGCAAGTATAGCAACCAGAAGCCACCTCTGCTAGGATTATGGTGAACACATCAGTAGAAGGATGTAGGGAATGATAGAATCCAACCGATCAGATATTGGTCATGGCATTGAACAAAAAGATCCTTCATAGTGGACAATGACTAAGACCTAATTATTCTGAGCTAGATGGAAACTGCAAGAACACAGAGCAGTGCTTTGTGTCCCCTAATTAAACCTTTATGATCACATACATTAACCCGACTGACGACATTGTCTGTCTGTTTAAGGAGTTTCAGATATTTGGAAATTACTCACCTTAAGCATGAAATTACTTATAACTGATTCTAAAAAGAAAAGAAAAAAGAAAGAAAAAAAAAAGAATGATGTGTCATATATTACCTTAAGCATTGTAGATGTGGAAAGTGCTTTTTGTAATACTGTGACATCTTCTACGAGTGCCTTGACCCGATTGAAGGACAAAAGCATCGACAGTGGAATGCCTGTTAGCCAAAAATTAACAAGAAAAAGAAAAACATTCAATCAACAATTTTTATGACTGGGGAAAAAAAAGAAAAGAAAAAAGAACTACACCCACAAAATAAAAGGGTTTAAATCAAAGTTTCCCAACCTTTTTTTTTTGTGTCATCACCCAATTTCACATGGAAAATCTTTTCCACTGCCCACCTGTATAGTAAATTTTCAAAAGCATGGTAAAAGTTTGTTACTGGTTTGTAAACTGACTTTATGATCATTTTATTTACCTATTCCTTTTCTTAAAAGTCAGTACTAATTGCTATTATTATTATTGAATTTATTCTACCCCCTCTTAAAAATTGTTTGAATATTAAATGTTTGATTTTTTTAGCTCATGTAAATATTGGATGTTACTTTTATTCATGGCTGATAAGGCTGAATGCTTTGCTCGGAAATTCTTATCCAACTCAACACTCGACTCATCCGGGGTACCCATACCTGATTTTCCCCTCAGAACTCTATTGAGCGAGATGAGCATAACCCCGTCGATGGTATTGTAAATCATCTCTAAATTAGATTCTCATAAAGCAAGTGGTGGTGATGGGATACCAGCCATTGCCCTAAAGAAATGTGTTCCTTAGCTGGCTCCAGTTCTCTCCAAACTATATAACTATTGCCTTACTGACTCTTGCTTTCCAGCCTGTTGGAAAGTATTCATCTGTTGTCCCTGTTTTTAAAAACTCTAGAGACCCTTTTGACCCATCTAACAACCGTCCTATTAGTCTCCTATCAGTCTTCAGCAAAGTCTTAGTGGCTTTAATCAATGCCAAAATGTTTAAGCACCTTACCTCCCAGGATCTACTCTGACAAACAATACTGTTTCCACTTTGCCCAGTCTACCGCTGACGTGCTTACAGCCATAACTGAATTTGTATAGCAAGCTCTTGATAATAACGGCAAAGCTCAAGCAGTGGCTCTAGATATCTCTAAAGCGTTTGATAGGGTTTGGCATACCGGCGTCCTTCGTAAGCTTCAGAGATACGGTATTACAGGACGATTATTTGATTTAATCCAATCATTCCTGTCAAACCGTGAAATGAAGGTCATCCTAAACAGGTTCTCTTCCAGTTCCTTTCATAAGAATGCACTATTTCTGATCTTCATCAACAATCTTCCTGATGTCATCAGTTCTCAAGTCGGCATCTATGCAGATGACACTACTATTTACTGTTGGTCTCAATAGTCAATCTGACATTGCTGATAAAGTTAATCTGAATGTTGGTCTTGAAAAGAACCTCCAAACTATGGTTGACTGGGGGAGGAAATGGCTTATTAGTTTTAAAGCCTCTAAAATAAAACTGCTCTCATTTACCCACTATAGAGAAACCTCCCTGCCTCCTATCAACATGGCTGATGCTTAACTTTATGAGGCCATCTCCCTGTGCTCTCTTGGTCTTATGTCTTCTACTGACCTGAGGTGAAACAGCTACATTGAATCAATTGCTTCATCTACCGCAAGGAAAGTTGGTTCTCTTTACTGCTTCAGAAGGTTTTTCTCGTCTGAGTCCATCCTTTTAATCTACAAATCTACCATTCATCCTTGCATTGAATACTGTTGCCATATATGGTCTGATGCCCCCACTGTTCAACTCAAGGTTCTCAACAAAATCCAAAGACAGATATGCAATGTGATAGGTACTGACCTGACATCTCAACTCCAGTCACTTCCTCACCGACTTAATGTGGCTTCCCTCTGTCTTTTCTACAAATATTTTCATGGCAACTACTCTGACAAGCTATTTTCACTGGTGCCCCAACTGCATGAATTTAAGCATGCTACCCAGTTGTTACCTCTGTCCCACCCTTTTACTGTCACAATAGTTAAATGTAACTGCCTCTTCTATTCCAACAGCTTTTTCTCTCGCACTTCCTATATGTGGAACTCCCTTCCTCTTACTTGCTTCTCTGGTAACTATAATCTTCAAAAATTTAAGTGTAATGTCAATCAACATCTTCTGATGCCTTCATCTTGACCCCCTTCCCTCTCTTTATTCTTCCCACAAACACCTCTCTTTGCTCCTACTTTAATTCTCTGTTACTCCTCGTGAGCTAGTGGCACTCCTGCTTGGGGTGAAATGCTTAAAAAAATATATATATATATATATATATATATATATATATATATTTATTCCAAAGGGAGATAACAAACAACACTGACTTATGCGGCGACTGCTACTACCATATTAAAGAACAAACAAAAGCAAACCTGGTCATTGAAAACTATATATAATTTTGATTCATGGTTAGGAATAGTGTGGTATGTGTTAACAAAAAATTACATGATTTTTATTCATAGTTATAAAATTAAAAAAAGAGTATGGACTACTAGCAATCAATAAAAATTCAGTGAATATTTTTTCTTAGTCGTTCCTTATGTGATTTATATTTGGAAAAAAAAAAAATTGTTCCATCTGAAGAAATATCTGAATTTTAATGACCCTTCTCAAAACTATAGAAAATACCAAAATATTTGTTGCTTGCAAGGATATTTATATCATATCTAGGAACGTGACCCAGTTATTGCCATTTAGCCTTGAGTTTTTTCTTGGTGTGTGTGTGTGTGTGGGGGGGTTATACAGGTTTTTTTCTTTTTTACCTGTCTATATTTCTGAGATGAGGTATTATGTACATTACTTACATTATTAAGACTATTGTCTTCATCTTTGTCGCCATATTTATTACAATGTTTCAGCCGTTGTATGCTCCGGCCTTCTTCAGGTGGTTGGAATGTTGAACTGAACCCTTCATTTCGCTCACTGGGGTAGACTGTATAATGGATGTCAGTTATCTCCTGTTAATTTCCCTCAAGGACACATGGCACAGTGGATAAAGGCGTTAGTTAGATTCAGTGACAGGATCCAAAGAGTGTGAGTTCAATACCCGGCTAAGGCAGTGGAGAACATCCGAAACATTGTAATAAATATGGCAACAAAGATGAGCACAATAGTCCGAATAATGTAAATAAGGTTTTTTTTTAACATATATCCTTTGAAAACTCTAGCTTGCAATCCTCAATTTGGAAAAAAAAACCTGTTTCCTGTTTATGGAATATGTCTTTGCCTGGGACATAGATGATTTGGGCCCATTTGAACCTGGAGTCCTAAATATGGATTCTCCAGACACAGGAGCATCTCCATATTATATGTAAGACCCTTCCTTTTTGTTCTCCTTACACTCTGCTTTGCTGTGTAGATATATGTTATAATATTCCCATATGGGACATGTGTATATATAGTTTTGGGTGTGCCGTAGTATTATAAAAGTCTCTCTGAGAACAAAGCATGTTTGTCATTCCATTCCGTCCTTGAACTATGGTGTTATTATATCAGGGATATAATAATGCCTATAATGGGAGAATAAATCTTTCTACCATATCTCACACCAGTTATACTCAAAACCAATACGGCCCACCATTTTCTGTTCCGTTGCTTATCACACACTAAACAGTTGGTCTGGTTTGTTTTATGGCATATCAACCTCAATGGGTTATTTAATGTCGACAAACTTTTTATTGTTGGTAATATCTTTTTTTTTCTAAAAATGTATTGCTGGTAATATTTTTTACAAATTATTTCTGGTATGTATTAAAACCTATTTTTACACTTTCATAGTGCTTTGACCCCAGTTTCAGTGTCAACTATTTTGCCAACAGCTGGAACCCTAACAGGTGCTACCACCTTGGGTCAGGGTGGACCTGGGAACACCAGCAATTAAGAGGTGGTTCCACGCCCCTCAAAAACCACCTGATCAGAGGCCATGCTGTTGGATGTAGTTTATCATCTTACCTAGGACGAACCAAACAGTTGATATCGCCCAAGTTGGGAAATATTGATTTTAATTTTCTGTTCTTCTATAAAATTCCATACCCTCCCTATGTTAACAATGCTAGTATAATCACACCCCAAATTAAATAACCCAAAGAGAATCGACATACTGGATATATTTGAGTATGGAGCAAATTATTATTGTGTTGTTATACAAAAAAATAGTGGGAAGGTGAATTACACACAGGTAATTTTATTTGAAGAGGTTAAAAATCATGCATTTTCAGAGACTGGTTGCACTATATACAGTAAATATTTTTTCTGGAGGGGTTAAAATTCATGCAAAAAAAATTCATGGGTCACATACATGAAGTTGGCATATACACAAGCATATATGGCAGGTGTTCTTTCCACAATTAACACAGGCTACCTCACATCACTGCAGGAGACAAGTGGAAAACTCTCAGACCTTTGTCAGTGAAGTTTTTTATGGTAGAGAATAGTGTATGTGTGTACATTACCAACTCCACTCTTTAAAACAATGCCTTGCATGTTATGGTCAACTGTGATGTGAAATATTGGCTTTACTTTTTTTTTTAAAATAAATTAATTAATCTTATTGCAATTTAAAAGTCATAAATTGGATTTGGGACAAAACGATTTTATTGTTTGAATAAAGATTAAACTTGAAGAATAAAATTAAAAAGAACGATCTTTGTGCTGTTTTTGTAAAATTCTACGAGGAAAAAATCTTTTGAATTTAAACATTTTGAAAACGAAATCACTCAAAATGATTTCTGGTTGAGATTTCGTAATGTACATATATATCAGTGTTTTTTTTTTTTTTTTTTTTTGAGGATGGACCAGGATTAATTTTATACAAAGTAATATTTGCTTTGCCTAGCAAAAGATTTGTCATAATGATTTTAGCCAATGTTTTACAAAGCCGGATGCTCTTCCTCATGACCATAATACTCAAAGTAATCTGAGTTCATCAAGCCTTTTTATCAAGAGACCATCTCTAGGAAGGTTGCTATTCAATGCTTGGGATTCCATCATAGCCTTATATGTTGGTTGTTGGCCTGTCCTTTGTGTTTTTTGTCCTGTGCCCTTCAGAAAAGCTAGTGGAGGAGCTAGTTTAGATAGCAACCACTCATCCATGCAGCAGGTTGTACTGGGTTACATGTTACGGTAACAGGGCTAAACTTAATGTGACAGAAGAAAAAAAAAAAAAATTACTTACTTCCATCTTTTGATTTATCAATTTGTTTCTTAAAGAATCTGTCCTTGTCTAAATTTGAATCTCCAAAATAAAATTCCACCTGAAAAAAAAGAGGAAATAAATGAAGAAAAATAAATATATAGCCATATGAAGGGGTGCAGAAAATTACTTAGTTCAACTCACTTACTTTCCAAAATATGACCAAATCAAACATTATTTTTTTGTGGTGGTGAAGAAGCCTAAAAGAAGGGCTAAAGCTTTTCAGCACATACACACACACACTGTTATGTGCCACAACCCCATGTTTATGGCAAGATTTGTAATAGATATTTGCTTGAAAAATGTCAAGCTCATTTCAGTGATCTTTTTAATGATATGAAAAATCTAACTTAGCATTAAATTACAGAAATAATCGAAAAAATTCTCATTCAAAGCAATACAGCTCTAAAGTTAAATGTCTATACCAGTGATACTCAGCTGCGATCCTCTTAAGTGTGCAATGAAAAATTGTCATATAAGATAATAATAGCTGGCCACTCGTATTTGAGGATACCTGTCTACTAGGGTGGCTAGCCAATCCCTATTGCAGACTCTTGCTCAGGCACATTTTGTGTTTGTTCAACAACCACAGAGCCAACCTGTGGTTTATACTGCAACTATGCTGAGCAGACCTTAGTTACACTTTCTGGGAGAGAGTGTATTATCTACAATGATCAACAATCTGAACAACACCTCGGTCACAATGAGTTGTGACTTTGTGCTAGCACAGCTATCAACAATCCCATGTGTTCAATCTACCCAATTTCATTCACAAAGCTTGAGTCAACCTGTGGTATGGTTTTCAGGCACTTTCCAAATGTACTGCATGCTGAGATTGTCCTCCCTCTAGTCTGATAAGATCAGAAAGTTTCCTTCGACCATGGTGAGGTGTGTGTGTGTGTGAGAGAGAGAGAGAGAGAGATCGTACAGCATTAGTATTTGAATAATTAAAAAGTAAGAAGCATTTTCTCCCACATTAGCTAAAAAGGCTTATTGCAATTTTCTCTTTCTTATTTATGTGAATTAGGCTTCTCAACCCTAAATAACATAAAAAATAAGAAGCGGGAAAAACTACAATCAACTGAAGAAGAAATGAGAGTCTGCTTATCAAACATTCAACCAAACATTAAATGGAAACATTGAAATAAAGTAAGTTCATATCTTTTTTAAATTTATGGTTTTATTTCATAACAGGTGTGCTGCTGCTTTAAAAGGTTGAGAAACACTGGCCTATACACTAAAAAGAATAAAATGTTTCAATATTTATATTGTTCTTATTTATATCCTCATCTTTGTTAATATTATCAGCCATTGTGTCTTTCAGCCTTCTTCAGGTGTCAGTCTAGATAACTTTCAGGGAACTTCAGACTGAACCCCTTATCTAATCTATAGGAACAGATTATTCTCATTCCGTTTTCCTCCATAGACAATAATAGCTTTAGTAGATTAGTGTTGATTCATGAACTTAGTAACATAATGATTGCGAGTTCAATCCCAGGTTTAGATTCTATGAAAACAGGTTTATGGCCAAATCACAAGATCACCAAAGCGTTGTAATGGAATGTCCCACTCTTCCTATCGCATATGTGGACTGACTATATCAGTAGATATATATAGTAAGCATAGGATATACCTGGCAGACTTGCTTCAGGAATTACTAGCTTGCTAACCGATTCCCTGTCTTTCAGTAGTGTATTCTCTTTTACAATAAACCTATCTCTCTTTCTTTTATCTATGCCTGTGTTGCTGTTTCTTTCACTCGAGTACCACTTTTGTCCGTTTGTATCCTTCTTTAAGGACACAACATTAAGCAACATTGAACCTGGTCAGTGCCTATAAGGGTAACTGCTTGGGAATATGAGGTGCTGTAAGCTTGGACATGTACAGGGTATAATGGATAATGGCTTGTGAATTAGAAATCGGAGAGCCGAGTTCCAATTTCAGTCAGGTTCTTTATATTCACTTATGTACAAATACCCTTGGGAAAGGGTAATCCACCTCTTCTCTCCCCAACTATGAGTTATGTTAGGGGATGCTAATTTCTTTCTCCTATAAAGGATGATAACTCAAAATACAACTGAATTACTTCCCTTGTCCTGGGAGTTGAGTGTGGCACTTTGTAATTAAATAAAAGGCATGTGGAATTTATGGTTTCAATCCAAATAAATCCGTTGCTGTCCTCAGACAGTAAATAGTAAAAGTTGTTTTTTATGTGTTAAAATACACTTGTCTTTTATTTTTATTTGAATTTGTTCATCTCGGCAACCTGGGATATCACAGATTAATTTGTAAGACGTGTATCAGTAAATCATTATTATCCCCGAAAGATTATTACAATCTAAAAAAACATCTTCTGCTTTTAAATAACCTGCAAAAGATTGTTATGCCCTAAATAACAAATAAATTAATCAGTGGAAACAGAGTGAAAAATAACTAAGCAGAACTAGATGCAAACAAACCATTCTTAGGCATCAACAGCAGAATGAGAACAATCTACTCCTGTTGATTAAATGAAAAGTTCAGGCTGAAATTCTCTAATGGTTAACAGGATCAACAAATACTTAAAATGACACAGAGGACCCATTGGCTGAAATGGTATGATAATAACAATGAAGATAAAGACATTAGTTCAAATGTAAATTATGATAATTTCTCATCCCATAAATTCAAACAGAAAATGTTTAAAAAAGGGAAGGTTTTTTTCTATTTTAAATGGCTATATGAGAATAGGTACCTTCGCTGAAAAAACAGCATAGCATGATGAAAAAAACAAAAACAAAACAAAACATCCCAAACTTAATAAAACACAAGTTTTATCATCAAAATGTTTGATATTTTTTTATTTTATTTTATTAAATTTTTAAATCTTTTCTAGCATCAAAAAGGTTAAAAATCTGGGTTTTTTTTTGTGTGTCACCTTTTTTTCAGGTGAATTCTCAAATTTCAATGAAACTTTCAGGACTTATTCACAAATGAATGAAATTATTTAAAAATTTTTTTTTTTTGTTTAGAAAATCAAGGAAATTTTTTTTGTTTTTACATGTTACCCAGTACTTACTTAAATTTTCATCCTTAATTTTTTTTTTTTTTATTAGTTAAAAGCAGGACTCCTTGGAGAATGAAAATCTTTTTTTTTTTTTTTCAAACTACTACTCATTTCCCAAAAATTTTCTCCAAATCATAAAATAAAAAAATGAAATAAAACTATATTATTTAAATGGAAAAAATTTTAACTGCTTTTATAAATAAGGTTTATTAAGGATACTATAAAGAAAATTTTTTTTTGATGAATAATGAATTTTTTCAAGAATTGTTTTCATTTTTTAAAATTTTAATTATAATATATAATTTTTTTAAAATTCTGCATTACTTTCATACAATTAGGTGATATTGTTATTAAGTGGAAACTATATTTACTAATCAAATATTGAAAAGCTTAAAACAAATCATTTTACAGCAAGATTTTTAAAATAATTTTTTTTTTTTTTTATGTATATAAAATATGATGTAACATGCCCAGTTTTGAAAGTATTATTGACCATACATTATTAGAAAATAAGAACGATGACTATAGTAAATTTAAAGTCAACATTCCTAAAATTAGATTATGGAGAATATTTTCCAACATTTTTTAGATTACTGAGTACTTAAAAATTATATATGAAATAAAGAAAAAAAGAAAAAAGTGCTCATGTCATTTTACATTTTATGACGTGAGCACTTATATTTTACAGATAAATTCTCTACAGAACAATCATTATGTCAACTCCTTGTCAGTTATGTAAAACATGGTGATGTTGGTTAAAAAACAGCTACTGTTTCGTTTTAAAAATACATTTCTGTGTTATTTTAAACTTAAATTATTTTCTTTCAAATCAGATTAATTATATTTTAAATCAGCTAACATTCTTCAAATAAAGTTTCAGAAAATTATATTTTGCTTTTTGAAAAATTTTTAATACAGGGAATTATATTGCGATGAAAGACAACTAAAAAAAGACAGCTATAAAAAAAAAAAAAAAAAAAAAAAAAAATCAATTCCAATCAATATAATTTCTGTTTGAAATACACCAAAGTATTTTGATTACTGGAAATAGTAAATTTAATCCTTTAGCTTTCAATTAAATCTAAAACGAAAGCTTTTTCATTTATAAAAACTAATTTTAAACCATAGGTAATGAAAATTATTGATGGTACTTATATGAGAATTATTAATAATTATAAAGATGTTCAATATTCAATTTGACAAACATATTTCCATATATTACCAGCAGAAAATTTATTCATGTATATATATGAATAGCAAAAACTGTGAAAACTAATGGAAACTCGTTACATATGAAATGTACAGCAGAGAAGCAATTTTCTTATATTGCAAACTACAGACCATATATGCGATGATATGTTTAAATGTTATTTGCAATTAAAGTTAAGGAAAACTAGTTGAAAAGAATTTCTTATTTATACTATTTAAATGACAGGTAGCATGTAATTTGATGCTGTTGAAAACAAGGTGAGCAATAATTGAGCAGTACTAAAAATAAGAACTAGATGAGATATCCCTAGATATGGTGAGTGGAATGAGAACAGTTTACCCTCATAGATGAAATAAAGAGTTTCAATTTGGAATTCCCAGTAAGTTACCTGGATTGGTGTACACCTGATGAAGGTCGGAGAGTACAACAGACGAATTATTGTAATAAAAACAACCAGGATGAAGACAATAGTCTGCATGTAAATAATGATAACCGTTCATCCCAGAATTTCAGACAGAAAAGATTTTCTCATTTTAAAATAAAATTCCTAGTCACAAGCAATGGCAATAATCCAATGTGCCCTACTACAGAATATAGTAGAGCTGAACACTCATATTCATGGATAATCATTTACTAGGGTGGTTAGCCAACCCCTACTGCAGACACTTGCTCAGGCGCATTTGTATTTATTCAACACCCACAGAGCCCACCTGTGGTTTATACTGCAACTATGCTGAGCAGACCTTAGTTACAGCTTCTGGGAAAGAGTGTGTTATCTAGCATGATCAACAATTTGAACAAGTCC